CGAGAAAAAGTGCTCCAAAGAAAGGGGCGTGATTCTGTCTCCAGCTATTCCCCAATTTTCAGGAAAAAAAAATGCTTCCTCCGAACCAACACAATGATAAAAGGCCATTGTGTATCATATAAAAACCAACAACAGTAGGGTTGAAGTCATTTTTGAACCAACCTGGTCTTCAATCAGTCTTCCTTCAACACGAAGCTCCCACATCGGAACAGTGCCATCTTCTCCTTCCTACAAAAATTTTAAAGTAAGTATAATAAACATTTGGGAGGTGTCGTGTAATGTTGGACAGACCTTCTCTGGTTCCTTTCCCGCTATGAAAGTATGGGAAATGTAGATTCTAAGTCTCTTCTTCACCTTTTGCGGCCTTTTAAGTGCTTCCTTAAAAAATATTTTGTTGATCGTGAACATATCATGACAAAAATCATAAAAAACAAACTTGGATGTCGAGTTTCTTACGAGTGATTGTAGCATCTAATTTCTGCTCAAAAGCAAGTAAATCCATATACGCTTGAGACTCCGGAACCAACTCTCGTACCTGTAACAGATGATGCTTCTTGACAAATGATAATGTATGGATATGTACATAGTCAGAAATTGGAAGACAGCAAGCGTTAACACACATGCTAGTACTCATAATTCCTTAACAAAAACGAGTAATAAGCACTCTGATTCCAGACGGGAGAAAACAGCTCCGAAAATAAACATATCGAGAAATAAACATATTTTAATAAATTTCACTTCGCTAGATTTAAAGAAGGATTACTGACCGCCATTAAAAAAGACTGACTAAAAACGAATGAAGGATGAACAAAACACTATGGAAAAAAAATAACTTCAGGATGCTCGTTGTTGAGCAATGATTATTTGGTTGGCTAAAAACAATTTCTGTTCTTTCCATGTATCTCATAAGTTCTGTATTAGAGTTTATGACATTATCGGAGAGTCTAGAAGATGCGCGACCAAACGAAGTGGGATAAGAGCTCGGGAAAGTTTTGTGCAGCAAGCAACCTCGCGCTTCATCAGCATGAGTTGCGAGCTTTGCAAGCAGTTTTTGATTATAGCACGTTTGCGGTTAGACTGCAACACGAATAGTACGAACAAGTAAGCAAAATGGCTGCTGCATCTTCTAC